AGAAAGAGAGAAAGGAAGGTTATCTATTTCTTCTAAAATGCCTTAATGAATGGGGAAAGATATGGTTGGGTTACAAAGTCCAGCAACATTTGTTTTGAGCATCACTATCTGGGGATTTTTGTGCTTTTCTTCCTCCTTTGGCTTATCTCTTTTCCCTTTTCACAGCTCAAACTTACGCAAACTGTGTCGTTCATTGTAGTGATAAAGCAAGTACAGAGTGTTTAGCTTTCATTCTTGTCCTTGGATGTTAAACTGACAGCTTAGCACCTCCATTACTTTTTATCAGTGAGTTACTGGCCTTGCCAGCACTCAAGATAAGAAAGTCCCACACTTGCCAAGGAAAAAAAAAGACCAGGAAAACTGAAAAGAGCACTGGGGTTGGGTTATGCTAAACTACAAAATCGGCGGTAGGAGACTCTTGAAAATGGATGAGACTTGCCATTCACTGAGACACAGCTGGAAACTGATGTGATCTCGGCAATTTCCAATGGAAAGCCAACTTTCAACTACTTGGTTAACCAGTATAAACCTCTGAAGTAGAGAAATCCACCATCTTATCTCATTTTATTTCAAATGTTAAAAGATCTCTGGTCAAAATAATTTGACTTTCTCATACTAAAGCCTTATTTATAAGATATTAGCCACAAAAACTGAGATTCAGCATTTGATAGCACTGTGTCCTGTGTGTGCACGCTCACCCGCGCGCGCACGTGTGTGTGTGTGTGTGTGTGTGTGTGTGTGTGTGTGTGTATAAGAAAATGACATCATAAGAGTATCAGAGAATTCAGTGATACAGTAATCCTGTTTCTGGGTCACTGTTATTCACTGATAAATTTTAGGAGATTAAACAGAATTTTATGTACTTCTTTTTCCTCTATTACAAATTATCTTTGCTGGCACTCTTCCTTCATGCCTATTTTCTATATGTTATAAAGGAATAGGAGCAGAGCTGTGAGGGACCTCAAAAGATACTAGTTCTCATCTGCCTATAGGGATACCCATTGAAAGTTCTCTCTGCTCTGTGGTTCATGAAGGATTTGAGAAATCTGGTAAAATATCACATTGATTTAAAGTTTTGACCAGGCAAGTGGCTCATGCCTGTAATTCCAGCACTTTGGGATGCCTAGGTGGGTGGATGGATTTCTTGAGCCCAAGGAGTTCAAGACCAGACTGGTATATAACATGGTTAAACTCCAGCTATTAAAAAAAAAAATACAAAAATTAGTTGGGTGTGGTGGCATGCACCTGAGGTCCCAGCTACTCAGGAGGCTTGAGGTGAGAGGAACACCTGAGCCCAGGAGGTTGAGGCTGCAGTGAGCCAAGATCCCACCATCGCACTTCGGCCTGGGTGATGAAATAAGACCCTGTCTCAAAAAAAAAATAAATAAATAAATAAACCTTTCATGTAGGACTAGTTCCCCTTTTTGTACTGGCACGTGGTTAAGCACATATTGAAATGGAGAATAGTGAGTTTTAATATGTGCTGCATTCTTTCCATGTCATCCTCTTTTACTCTCTCAACTACCACATAAAGTTCTGAGTAAGTGTAAGCCACACCCATAAAGCTTCCTCTGTTGATTGATTCCCAAATACAACTAAAGTGGAACAAGATCTTACTTGCAAAGTAAGCTTTCCAAAGAAATCTAGATATTTATAATCCCCTCCTCTCATATTTACAATTGTCTTATCCTCATCTAATTGGATAGCATTGTTTTAGTGATTACCTTTAAAGAATCTTTCTCAAACTTTATTATCATAGAATGAAAGCCATTTTCTTGTTACACTTGTATTTATTTGGTTTACACAATATTTAATTATGTAAATTATTAATAGATATAAACAAGTCTGGAACTACTGTGGATCAGCACCTGACAGGTCGTAGCAGACATGTAAAGGCTGTTCTAGGGAGAGGCTGTTAGTTTCTAGATTTCAGCTGGTCACAGGATCAGTCAGTAGGTTGTACAGAGAGAACAGAGTGACTGCTAATCCAGTGAGCTGATAAAATGGAAGCTAGCCAAACAAGATAGTTTTTTTAATTGCATTCCCAATTTACAGACTGAGAAACTGGGATACTGAAAACTTAAATAATTTAACTTCACAATAGCTGGTAAAAACCTTAAAGGCGATAAGGGATTTGTGGTTATGGGAAAATTCTAAGTATTATCTAGGGATTGGAGTGAAAATGGTCTATTATATTCCAGCCAATATTGATGTGCTGGGAGTACACTGGAGAGTTAGATAGTTAAACAGGACTCAGGAAAGTGTTTGCCAAAGGAGGAACGCCTAAATTAAAGGGCAGATCAACCAGGCAGAAGAGCAGAGAATGATTTGGACAGAAGAAACATTTGCAAGAGGGTTGAAGGCAAGAGCACAGCTGGGAAGAGAAATGCAAGTAGCTCCCAGAGTAGGAGGAAAATGATGAAAGACAATGAATTCAAGAGGTAAGTAGAGGCTCAACACCAAAAACAAATAAAAAAAAATGCTGTAAAGAATTTGAACTTTAAAGACTTTGAACTGTATTCTCAAGACAGTAGGAACCCATGAAGAGAATTGGTCAGTTGAGTCACAGGCTCAGATCTGACCTTCAGAGATGTCACTTGACTGTATTGCGGAGAAAGGAGTAGAATGCTGGGTAGGTGGCAAGAGCTGCTGGTGGTCTGGATCTGCCTAATTTCTATGGAGAGAAGATAAATTTAGGAGCTAGTTTCAACAGGACTTGCTAATTAACTGAATTCGTGGGGTGGGGTTGGGGAGAATGAAGTAACGTTAAGATGACTTTCAGGTTTCTGGGGCAGTCATCTGGATGGAGGGAGGTATTCATTCTTTAAGACAGTGAATTCAGGAGGAAATGAGTCAGTTTCAAGGGTGGTGAAATTTAATTCTAGGCATGTTACATTTGAACCTCCAATTTTTAATGACCTGTGGTTAATCACACACATGGATTTCAAATTTAGGAAAAAGACCTGGGCTGGAAATACGGATGTTGTATATGTCAGCATGTAAATGTAAAAGGAATTCATGGAAAAAGATGAAGTGATACAAGGAGACTAAAGGATGAGAAAAGGAAATAAGCCCAAACTCCCCAAAATGGTAGCACATTTATATCCCTGTCATGTGCCTCATGTCTCAAGAGCAAGTGCCATACTGATGCCACCATGCTTATGCATGACAGCATGTATATAATGGAATCTTTCTTCTTTTTAAAAACTTCAATGAACTATACCTGATTTTCCTTGTATGAAATAGATGGGAGGGCCGGGCACAGTGGTTCATGCCTGTAATCCCAACATTTTGGGAGGCCAAGGCAGGTGGATCGCCTGAGGTCAGGAGTTTGAGACCAGCTGGCCAACATGGTGAAACACTGTCTCTACTAAAAATACAAAAAAAAAAAATTAGCAGGCGTGGTTGTGGGCACCTGTAATCCTGGCTACTTGGGAGGTTGAGGCAGCATAATCGCTACAATCCAGAAGGTGGAGGTTGCAGTGAGCCGAGATCTCGTCACTGCACTCCATCCCAGCCTAGGCAACACAGGGAAACTCCTTCTCAAAAAAAAAAAAAAAAAAAAAATGGATTGGGGATACTGAGCTGGGAAATCCTTACCATGACTGTAGTGTTTCTCGTCCACTCCCAAGCAGGCAAAATCATAAATTCAGAATCAAGGTGCCATCATTATAGATATTTTCTAATTAGACATCATCCAAAAAGGTAATGGGGTTGATGCTAATGTTAGCTGGAAATAAAATGGGGTACCATATCTAAAATAGGGCGTGTCAACTTCAAAGTGAGTCTTTTTCCTACCCCACAAATGGGAGTGATTAGCTACAGTGAAAATCAATGGGGATTAGAGTCAGGCTTAAAGTCTCAACTCCACAAGCTATCTCCACTCCCCAGTCATAAGCAGTTTATGTAACTCCAAGGACAGATATGCTTGGGCAGATAGCATGCAATAAACAACGTACAGAAGTGAAAACTTACTTTAAGCTTCCAGGGTTTGTTTTTTGGTTGGTTTGTTTTTTTCGTTTTGCTTTGTTTTTCCTTTTTATATTACTTTATTTTTTGCAACACACACATTAGTTACCTTCTCTAGGACTATTTCCCTACCCAGAAGAGGAAGGTCCCTTAGTACATAATCTCTGGGGTCTCCATCAGTTTCAACATCCTGTGGCCCTGATCACCTGTAAGTTAAGGAACAAACTTCACTGCGAAGTCCTGTATCCTGAATCCAGCCCCAAACATCCACTCCCCCAGTTGAGGAGGCAGGGAAGTACTTTTACCCTGGTAGCATTCTCAATCAAGATGTATCATTATTCAAAGCGCAAGTAGACCAAGGTGCATATACTAATTTTTTCCTCCAAGGTCTTAGTTTTCATTTTACTTTGAAATGTCACTGTGACTACTTTTATTATTCCCATTACCTGGAATCTTTGACTGCCAGCGCGGTCTATTAGAAGGTCATTCCCCATCCCCCACCGCGCCCAGCTTTATCCAGTGCACGAAGCCTGGCTATTTGTAACTCAATATACACTTTCCAAAACTACGAGTTTTACGTTTTATTATTGTTTTACTTTGGAAGCCAGCATTAACGTTAAAAGAACTGTTTTCATTTAAACCACCGTTTCAACTGTGGATGGTAGGATAATTTATCAGTTTCTTTAATTTGGAATTGAAAGGCTTCCTGAAAACACTGCTAATTAAACTTTACTTCCCTGAAGTTCTCCTAAATATCTCCAACTACAAGAGCTAGCCTAGTATTTGCTCACTCCCCTTTGCCTTACAACTCCATTTGATATATGTTTCCCACGACGTAGTGGAGACTTCTGACTGGAGAGAGTGGAAAATAAAACTCCAAATTTCCTACAATCTCAGCTCCACTTTCTCCCGCGCGCCGGCCCGGGGTTGGAGCCGTGTTATTGTCACGTGGCCACGGGGCCGCCCGCAGCCGGCTGGCCAATGGGCGCGCGCCGGCCTCTCCCAGCCCCGCCTCGGTACTCCGCCGCGCAGGGACTTCGCGCTGCCCTGCGGCGTGGAGGCGAAAAAGTTTCTTTTGCTGGCTAGAAGGGGCTTCGGCGAGCCGACGCTGCTCAGGCTGCAACTCTGTCGCAGTTGGCAGTTCTTTTCAGTTTCCCTCCTGCTTCCTGGAGGCATGAAAGGGCTTCGCCGCCGGGAGTAAAAGGAATTGACCCGCCAGCGCGAGGGCGGAGCGCGCACGCGGCCGGGAGGGCGGGCGTGCACCCGCGGCTGGAAGTTTGTGCGGGGCCCCGAGCGTGCGCGGCTGGGAGCAGCGGGCCGAGACCGAGACCAAGGCCGCTGAACCGCGATGAGCGCGCCGAACCTTGTTGCGCGCGCGGCGGCGTTGGGGCTGCTGTTCTGCGCGGTACTGGGGCGCGCGGGCCGGGCGGACAGCGGCGGCCGCGGGGCACTCGGGCACCCCTCCGGGATAGCCACCGAGCGCCAGTGCCCCGCTCCCTGCCGCTGCCTTGGGGACCTGCTGGACTGCAGTCGCCAGCGGCTGGCGCGTCTTCCTGAGCCGCTCCCGCCCTGGGTAGCTCGACTGTAAGTATTCGTTCCGCGGGCGGAGGGGGCCGGGCCGCTGGAGATTCTGGAAAACTGGATCTGGAGAGGGCCTGGTTGCTCGGGGTTCGGCGTGCATAGCCCTTTTTTTTTTTTTCCGGGTAGCTCCTTCTGGCCCAGACTGTGATCGGCGCCCGTGGGAGTGGTAAAACAACTGTCCGGGCCTCAGTTTCCCTCCCACGTGCTTTGCGTGCTCTTGGCGCGTCCTAACTGGCTGCAGGTAGGCTAGGGGAGGGGGTAACTGACTACGCCAGAGGCCGGGGATGAAGTCCTGCGCCCTAAGCTAGCCAGGTGGTTCAAATGCGCGCTCCTGTTAGGCCTGGGCGAGGTAAGTGGCAACCTGCGCACAACAGGAGTTTGCAGTTCTCCCAAAGTTCAGCTTTAGTTTCTAGCTCTGTGGTTCAGTTTTAGTTTCTAGCTGCGTCAGACTCCTTTTTCTGTTTCCATCCTGTAACTAAAGTCAGGTTTTTCATTTGGGAAGCCCCCTCAACAGAATTCGGTCACTATTCAAGTTACGGTGGAGGTACTTTTGTTGCTCTCCCTCTGCTTGCTTTCACCTTAGGAGTTCGTAAGTTCCCACTCCTCAACCAGATTGTAAAGAATGGTCGGTAGCTCTGTAAAGGGAGGAACCCGATTATCCAAATCAAGGGCATGATTTCTGTAGCTCCTCAGCACGCCCAGACGGTTTAGGGGAGAGCGCAGAGTGCTGTTATGCAAGTTTTTGGATTGTAGCTGAAGTCTGAAAACCTGAAATCACTGCCAACTGCGTGGAATAACAAGGAAGAAAATGTAATTTAGTTGGAAATGCTGATCTTTTCCAATGTCATCTGTCTATTCTTCCTCAGTCCCCAGCTTTAAAATTGGTGTAGTGCTGTATAAACAATCAAAACTTGTATTTTTTTTTAAAGTAGTTCTGTTGAAAATAAAGTGCAGTTCACACGTAATCTTAGTTTTGCAATGAAAGTTCTAAGTTCTTAAAACAATTCTAGTGAACTGTACTAGTGCCCTAATCGTGGTTGGCGGTTTGGTCAGGTGCTTAAGTTATATTTTAAAATTATTGTGCTAATCTAAATAACTTTTGTGAATGTAGAATTGTTGGCCATCAGAAAGTGTATTCTTTGTGTTTTTAATGTCTTAGTTTAATAGAGTATCAGATTGATATTTAATTTCTTATGATGGGACGTTTTATTTAGTAGTTTTTATTACAATTGGAGGAGGAGATAAGGGCTTTAACCGAAAGCAGGAAGACTTTCAATTAGTTGTGGCTAATTCTGTTCAATTGCCTCTTCTTGAGGCCATGCTGCCTTATTCATGAAATGTGAATGGCTCTATTGACAACATATGGAACTGAACATTGAATGACTGGAGGTGAACACTTAGGAATAATAGAGGGATGAGAAAGAGAAAATGAATACAGTGCTTCCTGTAGTGTGTTTAGAAATGCTTAGCTTATTCACGGAATCGAACTGGTATTCAATAGTTTTTCCATGTCAAGTTGTCTATTGTGGTCATGCTAGTGTGCAATACTGTTTTTTTTTTTTTCCGTGGATTTAGATGTCTAGAAAAAAAATCCGTTGTCCTTGATTAGAAGTTGGGTTGAACCAAAAGGGGTTCGATACCTACTTAAACATTGTCTTAAAAGTAGCTGACCTAATTAGGATTTTGTTTTGCAGATAATTTGGTGGCACACTAAAAACAAATTAGAGTTTATTTGGTTAGCACAGTCTTTAATTACATTTCCACCAGCAGTAAATTGTCTCAATACTAGTCCACATTCCTTATTTATGTATGTGAAAATAAGTTCCACTTGTGTAAATAAGCACTCAGTCTGTTGTCAGGAACCCCGCTGTGGTCACTCATTGGACAGCTCTGTCATTCTTGTACTTCTGTGACTTTTAACCATCTTTGTAGGTGTCACCAAACCATGTGGTCTGAATTCTTTATTGTAAATATTTCTTTTGTTTGTACCTAAAGCTCTAGGGGTCTCCTCTCTCCACTTTTGAAAGGAGGAGAAAAACATGTGGAATTGAGTTTTACTTACTCTTTTATTTGGTATTTTAAAATGGGAAGCCGAAAAGTTTTTCATAATTAGAAAACCATCTTAAGGAGATGATTTCCGAGTTCAGATATAAGTAGAAAAATGCATGTTTTTCTTCCCCATATCTTACCTTCCCTTTCCTTAGGTAATCAAAATAGTGAAAGTTTGTCTTTGGACTAGTTTATGAAAGAGCTTTTCAGACAAAGTTCAGTGTCTTTTTTTCATTTGTTGAATTTGCAAGTTTAAGAAAAATCTCTACGTGTGTATTTTCCCACTTTATTTGGTTGTGATTTATTGCTATAGAGTCCCATGTGTGAAAAGTTGAATAGTTTGAGCTGTAAAATAATCTGTATCAGTACTCCTTTTAGAAAATAACCTCTAATACTTTAATGAAAGTGGCTCTTAAAAAAGTATGTGGGCGAGACTCTGTCTTTAAAAAAAAAAAACTAAGCAAAACCGTAACTATGCGAAGCCCTGCTCACAACTACCATTAAAGGCAAGCTAGAGTTTATGTCTAGAGTTTGTGCTTATAACCGTTCTCAACCTAAAGAGGAATGCTTGTTAGAATGTTATTTAGCTCAGAGACGGAAAAGTTGCTAAATTGCCAATGAGAACTTCCAGTATTATTCAATTCTCACTGGCATTTCAGAATTATTTGTCTTTTGTAGAAATGTTTGGGTTCTCAACAGGACTCAGGCGAAAGTCCCAAAGGTAGTTTCTGCTGGTGTGACTTCTTTAGTGTTGACCTCCTATAAATCTTCTGGTCTGTACCAGAATTGGGGGTGGGGTGGGGGTAATAGTCCTTATGGTTTTCACAGCTGTTTTTCTATATTTTCCAGACTAAAACTTGAATATAGCAGAGTGATTTATGAGTCACTTTGGATCAGTGTCTTAAAACAACTACAGCCTGGCTTTTTGTTTTTCAGCTTTCCAGATTTCTGCTGAATTAGCAACTCTGTAGGCCCCAGTGGGATTGATTAAGAAGCTGTGCTGGATTTGCATTTAAAATTTGACTTGGAAGTCAGATTTCCAAATGCCAAAAGGAAGAAAATGATAGCATGAACCAAATGTTGCAAATTGATTATTTTCGTATATATTTATTCATTTGCTAATATGTGGGAAGAGAGATGTCTGTCTAACCACGTAGAAAGAGATTGATTTTCAAGTTTTGGCCAACTGAGTTCTGGGTACATGGTTAACACTTCTGTACCTTACTACCTTTCCCATTCATTAACCCCACTGCAAAAAGTTTTTGTAAAGGTTTTGTGGGGAAGATGTTCATTAATGGAACTCTAAACATGAAGAATCTGCCTTTCATATTGAATGTTTTATGTTCTGGGTTTAAGAAAACATCGACATTGTACAACTTGAGTCTGTTTTTAATGGTGTAGCAATGAAAACAATATAAGGAAGATTTAGGAAAATGTGACATCCCTTAACTGGAAAGTAATCATTTCTCAAATGTAAACTATATAAAATCTAAATTTAGGTATCCTAAAAGTTTCATAGCTGTAAGTATTTAGCAGTAAAAGTAATTTAAGGGGTATTTTTTTTCCTCCTACATATAGTGTAGTTTTAACAGTACACAAAGCTCAGGAGTGGAAGTGTGTTGCAATAACTGAAATATTTAGAGTTGCCAGCTCTTGCTTCTGGATCAGAAATGAGGGGTCTCCAACACGTGCAGTGGTCTCTGAAGACAGTTTCTTATTTTTTGCAGGTCTTTTGTAGGGGGAATCTTATCCAATTACTAGTTGAAAAAAATTTAAGCATTGCATCTCCTTTTTCCACAGTATTGCCCTGTGAAATAATCCTTAAAATGAGTGGAGAGCTGAGTTTTAGTTTTTTTTTTAATTCTTAATTAAAAAGAAAATCACCTGTGTTAGATATTAATGCCAGATTGCTTCCCCCTTTCTTTTTAAGACCTGAAACAATAGGGGATGCAGTTTTATGCTGGTTCAATGCTCTTTAGTTAAGTGGGTCCAAATGAGACTTTCTGTTGACTCAGGCTCCCTCCCAGGTGAAAGACTCTTTTCCTTGGTTGTTTTTTGAACCGTGTGGGAAATCTGACTGTCTGGGGTGCTAAAAGCACACAGGTTTTGTTTGAATCCTAACGTGAGTTGTTGGGCTCACGGCTTCCTTGATGAACTCCAGATGGACTTGAGCTGGGCTGTGAGGGAAAGTGTCTGGCTCCAGCGTGCATGGTGAGCAGGCACAGCAGTGGTTGTAATTGCAGGATTTTTATAGTTTAAAGACTGTGCCAGATTTTTTTCATGTTATAACTCTACCAGAACAAATCTACTCATGTCTGTCACTGTCTGGTAGGTCTTTGGGCAAACATATTTCAAATAAAACCTTGCAGATTGTTTTTTTTAGGTGAGAAAGAGAATCCAGGTTTATACTCAAAACACAAACTGAAAGACTGAAAGGATCTCTGATTTCTAATTGTTAACTAAGCAACCCTGTGCTTCTCTGGAGGTGATTTCTCTTGATTTTTTAGGAGGGGTATACTTATGCATATAACAATTTATGCTTTTCTTTAATCAACTTTAGTTATTTAAAACTTTAGTTATTTACAAAACTCCATTTTAACACTGAAAAAATTAGTAAGCGTTGAGTAACCTCTTTCAGTGGCAAGCTTTAAGCCACTATTCGTTAGCCTGGTTTTTCATCACTCTTGAGCCATTTCATTTTTATTACACTGTTTTGAAGGCACATAGTCAATATGTTAACACATATTGGGAGTATAACCAAGAATATTTGCTAGAATTTATTCCATATTTTGAATCTTAAATGAGATGACTTTCTAGTGTCGAGTATTGTGTATGTATGAGTTTATTGTTTTTAACAGTGATGATGCTCTATGGAAATTGTTACTAAGTTAAATTGAGTTATTGAGTAAGAAGCACATTTATCTTAATGACTGAAATCTGTTCAGAAGTTTCCAGTGCAATCTGCTGAACTTTGTTAGATGTCGATGTGGTTTAAATGATATGTTATATTACCAGCTACTGAGATTTGGGGAATTTAAGAAAGCAGAGAGTTCAGATTGTTTTCTATTCTCTCAACACTCACACACAAAATAATAATTTAAATTATTTGGTGCTTTAAGGCAGAGAAATAAATATGTATGCAAAGCAATTTCTGTTTTTCTTGACTGCAATAAGGACATCGATGCTTACATTTAGGACAATAAAAGGATTTCTATAGAGGCTTTAGTTTCAGCAACCTGCCTAATTAGCTCCTTTTCATAAACAATGATGTCATCGTATCAAGTTGGGAGTGGGGAGATGGGAGGGCGAAGCAGACCTGCCCGTTCACAAAAGATCTGTTCACCATGTGCCAAAAAACATCTCTTAAAACGTTTGTGGGCTTCAAGTATTTGAATCTGCCAGTCTCCTTAAACTAATTTTGTCCTTGGAGTTTGTATTTTTGCGTTTGGCATTTTGGTTACCATCTAGTTTGTGGACAGAATAGACCAGTTATTTTTCCTCCTCTCCCTAGAGTTTATAGAGATAGCTCATAAGCCCATTTAGCACTATTTGTGATTTTTAGAAATGACTAATAATTTTCTTTTTGTTTTCTCATAGGGACTTAAGTCACAACAGATTATCTGTCATCAAGGCCAGTTCCCTGAGCCGCCTTCAAAGCCTTCGAGAAGTGTGAGTCTTCATTATTTCGTTTTTTAAGGTTTGAGTAAAATACATTACCCCTTATGTTATTTAACTGTAAAGATTACTTGGATTATAGTAAGTTATTCAAAACTTTTAACTTAGGAGGTATCTTGAAATAATATATAACGTTTCACCTCTATGAATTACAGATTACTTAATCAGCTTTCCTTTTTTGGCATTTATAGGAAACTGAACAACAATGAATTGGCAGCCATTCCAAATCTGGGACCAGTCACAGCAAATATTACACTACTGTCCTTGTAAGTGAATGTTAGCAGAATTCCTCATGTATGTTTGCAGGAATCTTGAGTAGGAGTTCCATAGGGACTAGCATAGGATCTTAGAAGAAAAATTTGGATATTTTATTTAGGGTGTAATAAAGATAGGCTCTTTAAATTGGTTAACTTGTTTTCTAGCCTCTAACTCTGCCATCTCTAAATTTCGTGTGTTCTTATAACAACACACTGTACACTTTGCTGTCGGTGCCAAAATGGTCTTCAAGATTCAAAGAGACCAGCTTCACCCCATAGAAATGTGTGTCTGATCATATTCTGTAGACTAGGACTTTAATTCCGGTATTGCTCAATGGTTGGCTTGGGAATCTGTGGATTACGTATTACGTACTTCCTAGTGGAGAATGATCAGAGTTGTTTTGTGAGGAGAAATTGGAGTTGAGAATAAGCCATTGGCATAACCTGTTTAAGTGTGGTACCTGCAGTGGAAATCAGAGTTCAAAGACAGCAACTCAAAATACCAGCCTATACAGTAAAAATTAAATATGTGACTGAAGACAACTTTGCAGGTTATTTTGCAAATGCAAGTTTTCAAATGCAATTAAGGTTGTACCAAGTTCTCTGTATTTTTAGTGTAGGTAATACGTATATACATGCACTTATGTAGGCTTTGGAGTAATTTTGACTTTCATCATTTAAAGGTAGCATTTAGAATACCTGTGATTTAATAGCTAAAATTTAAGTAGCTTACCACCTTAATCTTAAATAATTAAACAACATATTTAAGCTACTAATGTTAAAAATTTTTTTTTTCTTTAAGCAACTTAAGAAAAAAAAAAATCACCATTGTTAGTTGCTTCTGGGAAAGGTGTTGGGAGGGTTGAAGTTATACAGTAAATTTCAGGAAAGCTGTTCAATTAATAGAGTGATCAGTACCCAATTGCTTGCATCTGTTGATTTATAGAGGTTTGTTTTTACTGAGGGCCCAGGTCAGCTAAGTCACGAGTGTAGCCGCTGTGTCTGCTTTCCTCTGTTTGAATAAGAGCTAAGTGACATTTGATACTGATGTGGTTTTTCCTAAGATCAGAAACAGAAAGGAATGAAAGAAAAAGCAGTTGGTATTTGACAAATAAACACTGTATTTAAAAAACATTTTTTATGCTAGCATAAATACCTTTTTTCTTTGTCTTTTACAATTGCTTAACAAATCTAAATGGCATACTTACTGGCTTTGGTATCATAAACATCTTCAGCTACTCTTGTTTGACCAAGGTGGGCTTTTTAAATTCCACTTTGCTCTTGCTGTCCTCGCACTGCCTGTTGGCAGATTCTGTCAGTATGTTTAAGAGAGCTTGAGGGTCATGGTATACTTCATGGCAGAGAGGATTTGCAGTGCAGTTTTGAAATCCAGGCGGGATGGGACAAGCAGTCTACTCTTTGGCATGGTATAGCGTTGAGAGCATTAAGAACTTGCAAGGAAGTGAGAAATTGTAAGTAACCTAGTGCTTTACACTTTAAGGTTATAACCTGTAATTAGAAAGCTTGCTAGAATGACCTCTCAAAAGTTAGACATTTGTGCTCCTTCAACATTTGTCCTTATCTCCATATTGCTTTTGTGTTTCATTTTAGCAAGTGCTGGGTGTGAAATCACCCTGAGTAATCTCACTTTGTTTCTCCTTAATGTGTTACAGTACCTCTGGCCAGTGATTGCTTTGTTCATCTCATGTAATGATACATCCAAAGTGTTACCTAGATTACATAGACTCTGGGAAGAGTAATTTATATCGTGGGTCTGATAATTCAATGTGGAGAGTAAAAACGTGTTTTTATGCCTAAGAAATATCCTGACAAATTTACCTCTCTGGTTGTTTTTATCTACATATGTTTTGGTTCTGCCTGAGGTTTCAATGGATACCGTAATACACAGTCATTGTTTCTCAAGCACTTTAAATTTCTGTGTTGTTTAGAGTAAAACATTTTCTTTTATGTAGAAGCATGTGAAAATAATCAAAGCTAAAAATCAGTTCTGAAATACTTTTTGAGATTAAAAAAAATCTGTTGAATTGTGTAACATGATACAGATTGAAAACTTGCTGTATACCACAATTAAATCTCGTATCTTTCAAAGTAGTTTTTAGAATGATTGGACTTTCTTCTCTTTCGTCTTCTTATTATTATTTTGAGATGGAGTCTCGCTTTTTCACCAGGCTGGAGTGCAGTGGCGTGGCGATCTTGGCCCACTGCCACCTCTGCCTCGTGGGTTCAGGCGATCCTCCTGCCTCAGCCTCCCAAGTAACTGGGACTACAGGCACACACCACTACGTGCAGCTAATTTTTCTATTTTTAGTAGAGACAGGGTTTCACCATGTTGGCCAGGATGGTCTCCATCTTTTGACCTCGTGATCCGCCCTCCTTAGCCTCCCAAAGTGCTGGGATTATAGGCGTGAGCCACTGTGCCTGGCTGACTTTCATATTACTAAGAGTTTTTTGTGGTTTTTTGTTTGTGTCTTTTACATTTTGCAGAGGAAAACATTTTTATGAGTTATTTGCACAGGTTAAATAGTTTGAAAACTTGTGTTTAAATAAAATGAGTAATTAGTTGAAGTGTTAACCATAGGATTTAATTTTACTGCTCCATACTGTTTCTATTCTGTGCCATGAAGACGCCTCCCAGCTGGAGGGGCTGCGTGCGGAGAAGACTGTCCTGGTGAGACCTTTGTCTTCTCATAGTTACAGGAGCCAGGAGATGATAATTAGATCAAAGGGTACCCCATGTCTAGAGATGAATTCATTTAGGGTCCTGAATTCATAATATCAGGGAATCTGGGATGATGGCAATCTGGGATAATGCTCCATTAACAAAACTCATCTCTAACCTTTTTAGGAATCTTTTAGCATGTACAAGACCTGAATAGACATGCTTTCCTTTGAATCTCACACAGACCTAGCTGAGAAGTCAACCCGTGTGCTAGGGGCAAGGCATGACTTGTGTTTTTTAAATTTTTCTCTCACAATATGCTAGCTATAGCAGGGTGACATATTTTTTCAAAAGTGGAATAATCTTTGGAATGAACATATCTTAAGAGTAAAACTCTATTGACCTAGCTTACATAAGGGAGTTGATTTTTATGAATATACAGATTCTGGCTTTGTGTGATGTGGAATGACCTGCTCAAGCATTGGACGTGATTGAAACCTGTGCTATGGGTTAGGGAAGTTTGAATCCGTGAGTTCTACAACATTGTTGAAGAAAAGAGCCTTGCTGGTTATGATGAAATAGAGCTAGTTGTGATGCTAATGGTTTATATAGTGTTTCCTAGCATGCAGGTGCTTGCCTGGTGTCGCAGAGTTGAAGAGTCTTAGGTTAGTTGTTGTCAAAGAGGCACCTACGGTACTTGTTAAAAATGTAGATTCTCAGACACTATCCCTACAGATTCTAAATTAGTAGATTTGGGTGGGACTCAAGAGTATCCCTTTTAACATATGCAATATTCTAATCAGATATTCCATAAATATTTCTAGAATTACTGATAAGGGCCAATCTCATAATCAAGTAAGCCTTTTCTCTTTATTTCTTATCTCAAAAGTAGAGCATTTTTTCTTAGTCCATCATTATCTTTCCAGAGGTGACGTTGTCGTCATTCCAGAGAAGTTATTATAAATACTGGTTACCTTTGCTGGTAGGACACCAAAACATGGACTTACCACTGGAAAGCCATTCAAGATGTGTAAAGCAGAGTGACCTGATCAGATATGCTGTTTGAAAATGTCACACTGGCTTTAGTGTGGCAAATCACCTGGGGGTAGCAGGAGGATGGTTTAGAGGGGCAGATAATTTGATCATGTGATAATTGAGAAGCCACGGTGGCCTGTTCTCCAGTGAAGTCACCTCATTAGAATAGTGATTAAAAGTAAAGCTCAGGTCAGGTGGCCTGAAGTTAACTGCTGGTTTGTAACCTTGGGCAAGTTACTGACTGACTGTGTTTCCTCGTCTTTAAAATGAGAATAATATTGGTGTCTATCTCACAGAATTACTGTGAAGATGTAGAGAATACAGGTAAAGCTGTCTTACATGTACTGAGTGGTCAGTGAATGTGAGCTATGATAAGGATGACCATTCATTCACCTGCATTTATTGAGTATCTACTATGTATCAAGCCCTCCTTTAAGTGCTAGGACACCCCAGTGAAAAAGCATACAAACTCGCTCTTATCCTGAGGCTTCCATTCTAGTGAGGACAGAAAAATAAATAGGTAAATTCACATCAAAAGAAAAGATAACATTAGTTCATGATCAATGCTATAAAGGAAAAGAAAGGAGGATGAGGGGATTAGAGAGCTCTGGCAGTTGTTCTTTAACATGGTCAAGAAAAGCTCATATTTACCAAATCCTGCTATATGCCGGATGCTGTTCTAAGGTTAGGATTCAGAAAGCAGACAGGAATCCCTGCCCTCATAGAGCTGACCTTCTCGTGGAAGGAGAAACACAAAAAATAAATAAGAGATGTGGTCAGGAGGGGATATGTGCTGGGGAGAAGCAGTAGGGAAGAGGTGTCAGGACAGTGTGGGCAAAGAGGGGTTTCACAGTTTTAAATGGGGTTGTAGGGAAAGGGCCACAGGAGGAAGATACTGGAATCAGGGACTGAAGGTGAGGGAGGGAGTTGTGTGTGTGTCTGGGGATACTGGGTCATCTTGCTAAGCCTCCCCTGCCACATTCAGGCCCATCTTACCTTATATATCCAACTTACACATTAATGAAATAATTTTGTTCATATTTTTCTCCTCTGCTGAATTTTGAGGCCTCTATAGCTAACTCTTCTTTACCCTAGTGTTTAATGCAGGTATATGGCATAAGTTAGGGTTTAATTAATGTGTGAAGTAAGGAATATTCATGGAGTAACCACATGCTGTACTAAGCATAATTCAGACAGATCTCCTTCTAACCATTTAGGTTAAACCAGTGGCTAAAGATTTACATTGGCAATAGCATACATGTGTTTTACTTAACTTGTGTTCAATTATGCACAC